TGCCTTTCAACATTTTAACTTGGGAGATTTTGTATCTCTGCCTGCAAGGCAGGCTGGAGCTAAGTTCGAGGGGTGTCAGTGCCTCCCAGGCATCCCGCCCGCACAGCACAGCCCTCATTTCTGTTCACCACGAGGCCTCTGATGCTCTTCTCTCCAACTGTCATTCTCCCCAACTGTTCAGCCTTTGCCTTTGTACACATGCAGTTTGCTCTCTCCCAAATAAATGGGTGTCCCAGCACTCGCTAGCAAGTCTGCAAGACAGTGAAGCCTAATTCACCAGGGTTCTGAGAGGAAAATGAAGGAACGAGTGCCAGATGCCTGACGTGCTCCCTGGTATTCCAGAAGCGGGATTTCTTTCTCCCTCCCCCTGCCTTCCCCATCTTTCTCTCTAAGCACCAGTTTCCTCTTCTGCAAAAGGAAGCTTGCCTAGATGTCAGTCCCTGAGCATGCATTGAGTGAACCCCCTCTCTGTGCCAAGTGTAGTGCTAGAAGCATCGCACCGGAGGGTCTCGTTCCTGCCTGGAGAAGTTCATCAAGTGAGAAGTCGTCAGCTGCAGCCAGGGTAATGGAGGGGATACACAGGATGAGAGTGGGACATGGGGGGTAATCCTGACCCTGAGCACGGGGTAGGGGTAGCAGAGAAGGGTCAGCAGAGGTGCCTCTGAGGTGGCCCCATTTCCCTGATGCATATCTTACAGCGTGAGCACTACTGATCCCCGTGACTTTCTGTACATTGAAGACACATTGCTTTTCTGTGGCGAAGGCTCCTCTTCTGCCCCTACCCTCCCACTCCTCAGAGCAGGAGTGTGAGGCTCCTTCTGCCCATCCCCAAGTGGGATCTCTGTCCCATCCTCTCTGGGCAGTAGGCCTGCTGCTGGCTCAGGAAGGGCTCATCAAGGAGCAGGTTCATCTCTCCCAGGGCACAGACAGTGTTTCTCTGTGACTCACTGTAATTGACAAGCGCCCGCCTGATGTCTTAAAGGGAAAGAGAATTTTGAGGAGAGCCAGAAACAGCAGGGCTGAAAGAACCATGGGGTGAAGGATATAATCGGTCACACTGTGCCTAGAAATGCCATGTGTAGGGCGGGCCAGACAGCTGCTGTTACCTTGTGGTTTGGGTTTGATTTTATTCAGTTGCAGAAACATGATCATCAGCTGCTTTCCCTGAGAAGATTGCCAGTGTGTGTGTACGTGTGTGTGTGCATATGTGTGTGTATGTGTGTATGCGTGTGCGCGCGTGTGTGTGTGCGCGTGCATATGAGTGTGCGTGAGTGTGCATGTGTGTGTGTATGCATGTGCACATGCAATCTTCCTCTCCCTGTTCACCCTGTGTAACTCTCCCTTAGCACTCACACGTGTCCTCTTTGTCACGCTGAAAGAACGTGGTAGAAACACCTTCTCCAGAAACTGCTTCATGTCAGGCCAGTGCCCCCTGAGGTGGAGTGGTCAGAGCTGACAGGTTTGGGGCCATCCAGCTGGGGCCCTGAAATACTCACCTGGAGTTGATGGAGCAAGAGGGCAGGTACAACAACAATGACAACAGAAAGCCCTTGCTCCTTTAAGTGCTGTGCATCCAGCCAATCAGCCAGCATCTGTGTCCGAGTATGTATGAGGCGAGCAGAGGTCAGGAGCCTCGTGAACAAGGCGAAGGTTGAGGAGGAGGGTAGGGATGGAGAGAGACATTTCTGGGCTCTTTCCTAAAGGTCTGGCTGGGTTAGCTGGAACTACCTTTTATTGGCAAAGTAGGGCTAATGTTTAGATTTTCTTCATTTTGGGTTCTCATTAGCCTGCTGCCTCTTAGATGCCCATATTGGACTACACGGAGTGCTAGACTATGTGAAGTAAGCTGTGAGGGAATGTGGTTGGTCTTAGGTGGAACAAAATACCATTGCTGGAGCTTCTACATCATCTCCTGCTGATGCTTGCAGCCAGGTGCCAGCAAGGTCATGATTCAGTGTTTGCAGGACAGCTCCACAGCCTGGATTCGTCCTTTGAAACAACCAGCCTTTCATGCTAGTACTGTCCTGTGCCAAAGAGAGTGGACTATTTTTAAAAAAAAAAAAAACCCTTCCCTCCATTCTGCCCGTCCAAATGCCAAATAACCACGAACGTTTAACCACATAGAAAGAAATAGATGTCCCAGGAGTTACATCCAACGTGCATGAAAAGATGCTTTTTTCCTATTCATTGTGTACCCTTGCTTCTTTGCCATTCCCTTCTCTTTCTTCCTGCTCCTCTGCTCTTGTCTATAATATGTCACATTTGTTTCACTTCGGTTTGAGGAACTTGGGTTTCATCCTGGTATGAGTCTTCAATAATTTTGAGACTTCTGAAATTCCTGTAAAAACCCAGTTTGGCTTCCTTTTATCATGAAACAGGCATGCACCCCAATGACAGCATGACAGGGAGAGTAGGAACAAGAGTATGTCTTCACAACTGGCCAAATAACTGGATCCCTTCAGGCCACGAAAGGTTGCAAATCTCATATGCTTTACATCTCTGTTAAAAGATCACAGACGTCAGAAAGGGACTTGAAACTTTTTTTTTTTTTTTTTTTTTTTTTTTTTTTTTTTTTTTTTCTAATTCCAGCTCCCTCTTTCTCAGCTCTGGCAAAGGGAACTATCTTGCTGACAAAAAAGCCAGCCTTCTTCTGACCTGTCTTGGTTTTCATTTGTGATAACCAGATGAAGAGCAAATTACTTCCAGAAGCAATAAAAACTATCGAGGAAGATGATCTTGTAGCCGAGGTGCACAAGAGAGATAGTCACAGATGATGATGTTCTAGGGGGCTTTTAGGTTTAAATGTGACAACTGTGAATCTCTTCTGGTCTTTGCAAATGGTAGGGATTTCAGAGTTCCCAGTTGTCTTCCAAGCCTATGCCACACACACTTAGCAGGTGTGCCAAACCATTTCAGAAAGAGATTTGGTCGTCTAGGAAGAAGTTGTAACTATGAAATATCCCCACTGCAAAACCTGGATGAGGACATAGTCCTTTTATTAATATCCTAAGTTGTTCTTTAAGAGTTTTGATTCTTTTGTCATCCTTAGAATTGTTTATGCCAGAAAAGTTGCTTTTTTCATTACTAATAGACCCACCTCAGATGGAGATCAAAGCTGTCTATACTGACTAAGCAAATGGGTTGATATATTTTGCAGGAGGAATTGAAATCCATGGTTGTCACTGGGTGGCCCTTGGCAGGCTGACTCTATAAGGAGTTTAACATAAGTAAGTGCAAGGAAAGGCTCCACAGGAACCACCCGAGCATGGAATTTGGGCTTTCATGTGGGATATTTCTGCACTTGGTTGTAGGCAAAAGACGTTGCAGTGTATAGCCCTTGAGATCTAGTCCTCAACCCCTGTGAGCTGTAAGATGGGGAAATGCAAAATATACCCAGGGGCCCCCACCTGCTCACCTTTGTCCAGTCACTTAAACGAAATCCCAAGTTAGAATCTTCTTATTCTTACTCTTACCATCTCAATTCTTAGCACTCCCTTTTGATCTTTTTTTAATGTTCATATTATGGATGTTTAGATCACCTGCCTTATAACAAACCATGTTGTTTGATTTTAATGGGGAAATGTAATCACATGTAACAACTTTTCTGCTGCTGCAGAACCTTTTGGATACCAGATATGGTCTCTTAAAGATTCCCTCTGTTTGCTGAAGGTCTAACAACCAGTCAGGTTAAAATGTCGCCAAGACAAACAGTGGGGAAGTGATTCCCTAGTAAAAGTCAGAGTGACCAGGAAATGAGGCAGCAGAGAAGCTGCCTGAGATTTGAACACTGGAAATTAGCACAGACAGGATGGCTCAGGGAGCACAGGCTGTGCACACCTCTTCCTGAGCTCTGTGCTTCACATTCCCTTTCTCATATAACACTTCCAACCATTCCATCAAGGCAATGTTGTTATCCTTGTTTTACACATGAGGAAGTTGAGGCTCAAAGAAGTTAGTAGTTTGCCAAAGTTACATACTATGGTGCAAATGGCAAGGCTAAGATTTGCACTGAGACAAACAGATAGCATTTGCGTTGTACTGCATTGCAGAAAGTACAGGCTGTGTTCTATCAGTCAATCTGTCTGAAATAGATATATTTTTGAGGCAAAGCCAACATTGAAAGTAGACAGACATTGTCATCCTCTTGCCTGGACCAGACTGTCTATCACTATATAATATGGTACTCCAGAATTCTTTAGCCAAAACCACAACCATTGTGCTATATCTCACAATGTTTTGTGGGTCAGGAATTCAGACGGGGCTAGGCTGGGCCATTCTTCTGTTCTGCCTAGCATCAGTTAGAGTCACTTGTTGGTATTCAACTGCAGCCAGGCTGGTCTCAAGGGTCGAAGTTGGCAATACTTGTATATCTGGTAACTTGGCAGGGATAGCTGGAAGTCTGGGGTTCAACTGCACACCCCAGGTTTTCTCATGTTATCTCTCCATGGTTCTACCACAGAGCACTTGGGCTTCTTATGTGAAAGATCAGGGCTACAAGAAAGCATGATGGAAGTTACCAGTTCTCTTATAGGCTGAGCCCCAAATGGGCATGGCATCACTTCCACTGTACACTATTTGTCAAAGTATTATACACCAGCCCAGATTCAAGGCCAGAGCAAATCAAATCCACTTCTCGCCAAAGGAAGTGTCAAAAATGTATAGCCATCTTTAATCTACTACAGCACCATACGCTCTTTTCATAGAATGAAATGATGCTTTTAAAGGCAGGGCTCGCTATGGGCCAAGCTATAAGAAAACAATATTTGTTTTGGGGGCTTCTTATTCCTTCAGTGACTCCCACCTTTCTCTCACCCCCAGATTCCCAACCACCCTTGCTGTGTGTCCCTAAAACCTGTGCTCAAGGACAATGAGATACTCATGACTCCCATGTTCTTTTGGGGACTGTTTTCATCTTGAGCTATAGCTCTAATTGATGGAGAGAAGGATTATTCTCTTGGTAAAGAAATATTGTCTCAAGGTTTTGGGGGGATGAGGAAGGCAAGAGAGGATGGGTTTTGACATAGGACGGTAACAGAGCCAGTAAACTCAGATGACTTCAGTAACTGCTAACTCTTCCCCATGATGGTTATTGCAGGACCCACCCTGTTTTGTAGGCTGTCCACATCTCCGTCTCTCTGCCTGTAACCCTCTTACATTTTTGTGACTCTTATTATTTTGCTCTCTCTCCATACACATATGTGGACTTATATTTTTAGACTCATTTGTTTCTTTAATCACTTCACCCAGATGACCACAGGTAGTCAAATATACATAAAATCACCAGGCATTTTTTTTCTACTGGGTGACATAAGGATCCAGTCATTCCAGGAAGTGGGCAGATGACATTTTTCAGGGTTGCAGTCCCAAAGCCAAAGAGGCATTTGTGGAGAAAAAAAAAGTTCTACAAAGGATGTGAGAATCATATTCATCAGTCTGGGTTAACATTGGTCTTTTTAGGTTGTTCCAGAAGCTGGCCTCTCATGTCTGTGCCATTTTCTTCTTCTTCTTGTCTCTCTTTCTCTCTCTCTCTTTGGGATACTTTTTTTTTCTGTTCTATTTTGAGCACTACAGCATAGCTCTTTTATTCCATTTGTCAGCCATAGACGCAATCCAGTTGAAAAGCACCCCAGCCTCTACTGCGGCTACAATGCCTCCAATACTGTGGGGGCCATTGGAGGCTCTGCCCAACGAATCTGATTTGTAGCTTCTCCATTGTTTTAGCTCTTGGTGTTACCAGTAGGAGAAAAGCTCAAATCAGGGAAGAATGCTGGAAGAGAAAACCAGTTTGACAAAGGAGTGCTGGCCATTAGTTGGCTATATATAACTTCCACATTTTCAATCCGTGGCAGCCAAATCATTGTATCCTTCAGTTGCATCGTGGAATGGGCTTCCCAAGTACTCAACGCTCTTTCGTATGCTCTTTTGTACTGCATTTTTTTTTAACTTAAGTTCTGTGTCCCTTTTTGCACAAACAATATAATGTATCTTCTACTTATAAAAGTAACACGTGCTTATTGGAGAATCTTGGAAACATAAACATATTAATAGAAAAATAGAAAGTTTCTAATTATCTGTAATACTGTCACTGATCGATAACCATATTCATTTATTCATTTTAGTCATTCAACAATAATTATTACATACCTCCTGCATGAACTGCTTTGGATACCAGGGATGCAGAAGGAATTGAAAAGGCAGGATCCCTGGCCTCGTGGACTTTAGTTTAATGGGGAGATCGACACTGAAATAATGGAAAACATGACCTTTAACAGCTGCATAGTATTCCATAATATGCATATATTTGCGGTTAAACCAACACTTTCTAATATAATTTATATATTTTGTTCACTCAGACTATAATTTATTAAGCCAATCATATATTAGATATTTCAATTATTTCCATTGTTTTGTTATTATAAAATAATACTGCACTTATGTTTCTTTATAGACATCTTTGACATCCCTTTTTCATTGGGACAAATCTCTTACAGAGAAATTGCTAAGTCAGCAACAGGATACTCTTAATACTCTGAATCCATGTTGTCTGTTTTTTAGAAGAGTGCCTATTTGTACCATGTATCCGTCCTTTCTATATGACTCTGGAATGCTGTTTTTGCTGTCCTCACACCAGCAATAAATATTAATCAAGCTAAATTTGACTGCATTTTTTATAGTTTTTCTTTTTTTAATTTTTTTTTATTTTTTGGAGACAGAGTCTTGCTCTGTCACCCAGGCCATAGTGCAATGGCACGGTCTCGGCTCACTGCAGCCTCCGCCCCCCAGATTCAAGTGATTTGTCTGCTTCAGCCTCCTGAGCAACTGGGATTATGGACGCCTGCCATCATGCCCAGCTACTTTTTGTATTTTTAGTAGAAGCAGATTTTCATCATGTTGGCCAGGCTGGTCTCAAACTCCCAACCCCAAACCTCAGATGATCTGCCTACCTTGGCCTCCGTATATAGATTTTCAAAATAAAAATAGTTTCTTATTCTTTGTGTTTATAAAAGCAGTAAGTGCTTATTGTAAAGCAAAACAAAAGTAACAAATCATAATGAACCAAATAAATCCAGGCTGGACATATCAGAACAAGGAGGGAAAATCAGTAAAATCCTACTATTTCCAGCAGTAATCACCAATTACATCTAGGTGTGTATCCTTCCAGACCGTGTGTGTGTGTGTATGTGTGGGTGTAGTTAAGCTCCATCTGAAGGATAAGTCCTTTTAGAATAAACATACTGTAGAGGAAATGTATAGCACTAGCTAACCTGAGTGCCACATACCTGTATAGCCCTACCACCTCCAAGCTGGGTAGTTCTGGGAAAACCCTATCATTGCTTCCCACCCTAGGCTTTGGCCTGGCAGATGGTTATTACTGTATTCCATTTAGGCCAGAGTTTCTCAACCTCAGCACTACTAACATTTTGGTCCAGAAAATTCTTTATCATGAAGGGTTTTCTGGTACATTGTAGGATGTTTTTTAGCAGCATCCCTGACCTCTGTCCATCAGAGGTCAGTGCATACTCCCCTCCTAGTTGTAGTAATCAAAAATGTCTTCAAACATTGCCAAATATACCCTGGGGGACAAAATTGCCCCTAATTGAGAATGCTGTTCTAGGCTGAAAAACACTATAATTCCATGTCCAGTGAATTTTAGCGGCTGCAACAAAACAAAACTTTGGGTGTTCGCCAGCATGCTTTGTAGTGGGAGGTGGAAGATACAGAATAGCAGGGCAAATCAAGGAGGAAGCCCCACCTGGGTTAACTAGCACAGGCAGCATGCTGGGGACAGTTGCGAAACACGTGCACAGGAAGACAATGCTCTGAGCCATATTTAAGTCTCAGGTGTCCATTCTTGGTCAGCGGGTAGGAAAACACATTTCTTTTGGAGTAGTTATATTGTAAGCCAACAAGGTGATGAATTATTTAATGGGTTCTTTTTGTGTAAACATATTTATCATCTTTATTTTTCATCAGTTTTGTAGTGAACCAGGGAAAGCAGACACAGGAAAACATTTTGCAAAGAGCTTCAAATGGGAACTCTCTTTTGGTGAATGGCCCCCTGGTTTGAGGTGCTGTTTCCTTCGTGAGTGGTCTCTCTGCCGCAAGGATGCTTTTTAATGCAACCTTTGTTCAGAAAATGTCACTGTTTTCTAACACTTCCCCTATGACTCCCACTCTCTTTTCTCTCTGTCTGTCTCTCTTGTTGTCTTCTTGTTTTTTGGTGGTAAAAGAAAGGCTAGAGGTTTGTTAAAAATGAAATGACAGTGACAGAGTGGCCATTTTGTGTTTAAAATGTGCTTTGAGCCTCAGCTATGATGGCCAGCCTTGTAGTTTAAGCCATATCCTGATTTTCTAAGTTATGGTAAAATGGTGTTTCATCCAATAGGTGGAGTAGAGACTTCAGGACCGTTGAATATATTGAGAAAACCCTTTGGGAGAAACAGTGCAAAGCACTGGGTCCCAGCAGGGCTGGTCAGAGGTGCCTGCCTGGGGCCTCCTGGCCTGATGAGGGTCTCTCTCGAGTGGGGCTGTTTCCAGCCCCCAGCAGAGACAGTCATCCTGGGTGTGTCCAGACCTGGGAATGGCAGGAGGCATGCAGCCTAGGAGGTCATAGGAGTGTGGTGTGGCACAGGGAAGAAAGGTAAGTGCAGTCCAAAAGCAGAGGCCAGGTTGATGCTAAGAAAGGTACAGTAAGGGTCAGAAGATCATGATGAAGTTGAGTCGTAAGACTCAGTGTGGGAAAGGCAGAGCACAGAGCATTGTTTTCAACTCCTTATTAATCCTTGTTTAGATCAGCATTTGTCTAACTGTTGAGGAGCCCATAGTGGGGTCTACAGAAGAGGCCCTGAGGTTAAAATAGGGGTAAGAGATGGAGGCTGAGGTGTCAGGTGGCAAGATTTGTTTTGTAGATCGGTATCTGCCTTACCTTTAAAGCAAGGCATACCCTAAGGAAAAAAAGTTAAACCATTGGCAAATTTTCGTTATTTCTGGCTTTCTCAAGTCAGACATTTATTAAATTTAATTTCTTTGTGTTATGTTGAATATCGATTAAAAACAGTCTATTGCTGATTATTGCTATATGCATATATTTTCTCCTTTTCCAGAGGCTTTGAGTTGGCCTACAGCAAATTCATAAACTAACAATGGGAAAAATAGGTTGACTCAAATGAAGTTGTTGAAATTCAATGGTTTTTGACCTATGCAAATGACAGTAGGGTTGACCTAATAGAAATCATTGTTTAGAAATTAGGACCAAGAGTAAGATAGAATGAAAAGGTAGATGCCAAACCAATGCCAGGGTGAGGAGTGGGTGAGGGAATAGAAATACATAGGCTTATAGACCTACAGGACTGCCAGTAGTTGATGCTTAAATGTTCCTGGAAACCAAAGAGTAAAGTGAGATGTGATTGGTCAGAAGAAAGAATTTCAGCCTCTGCGGGAGGCAGAACTGCGCCTCACTCCTTACACGTTTGTCTGAGTCCAGAGCATATTCCAGGACCCATGGGTGAAGGAGCAGATCACTTCCTCAAAGCGTGCTTACAGGAAATGCAGTCACAGATTTTATAAATCTCCTTTATCTAGTGACCCAGTTGACAATCCCACATTCATGGGGATGACTTGTATGTCTGTTTTTAAAGGAAATAACATACTAAAATGGCACATAGAGGTGGAAGGTTTATGTTTGTGACTTATTTTGCAAGTGGTGAAAAAGGAAACTCTTTGTTTCTGCTAAGTAACATTTAAAAGCATTTCCTTTTAATATAGAGGAATTTCCAGAACCCTGACCTCAGTGCTATTAGCCTGTTAGACATAGATTTCATTGATAACCTCTTATGTCTGATCTTCATTGGTGCCACTTCATGTCCTCTTAGAGTCCTTAAATTTGTTTCTGTAAGCTAAATAATTAAAGAAATTAACTGTTCTTTTTAGGAAAAATGCTTCAAATCATATAAATAATACAGTTATATGATGATCAAGTTGCGTTTAATTAGATGTTTAAAGTATCGTTTTATTGACTTTTGATAGTTATTTGCTTTTCCTTCTCTAAATAACACTAACACGAACAGCTAATATTTCTAGCATTGATTGTGTGCCTGGCTCTTTTAAAGGCTTTAAATATATTATCTCACATACTCTACCCAACAGTCCCATGATTTGTGGGTACCATAACTATTCTCATGTTACCGATGAACAAACTGAGGTTTGGAAAGGTTTAAAAAAAAAAAACTTCTTCAAGGCCACCTGGTTAGCAACTAGCAACAAGATTGAAACTCAGCACTGTGGGCCACACTACCCTGGTTCTCTATTGCGGTAAACCCCTGTTCCCCTGCAAAGACAGTTGATCGTTCTTTGCTGCTGCTTAGTGGAGATGAAGTATATGTTTCTAACACATGGACACTGTTGATTTTGTCACACAGGACATTGTCTACTACTTGGGTAGTAGAGGAGCTGGGCCGCCAAAATGGCCAAGGCCAGCTAGATCTTAAAAAGCATGACTACAAGAACTAGAAAGGTCATTGGAGGTCTTCAGATCCTGTCCCAAAACCTGCACAAGCTGACAGGTGAGTGGCTGAGTTGGGGCTTGATGAGCAGATGTGCCATTGGTCTGGAGGTCTTGAATCCAAGGAGCTTAAAATATGAAAATTAAAACTAAAGATTGTAGGATGAGACACCAATTCCGGATACTGATAGGGAGGCGTACATAATGGGAATTTTTCTTTAACCAACCCACTGCACAAACTTGGGGAGAAAAGACGATACCTCAGACACAATTTACTTCATCTAGAAAAATAAGCACAGTAGGTCATTATAGGAACATTGCTTCTGATAGCTGCTGTTTCTGTGGGGCCGAGGTTTTCAGATAGAGGTTTGAGCTGTCATAGTAAGTCAGAATTTAGCTAAGAAGGCTAAAAAGTACTAGCAGAGGAATAGGGCTTTCAGGGACCAGGATTGACCTCCAAGGATGGTCAGGACTCAGCCACTGTAGGGCAAGCAGGCAGACCCTCAAAGGATCACAGCAGTTTCAACACATCTTCAGTTTCTGAGCCACGATTTTCCCTCCTTCTGAGTCACACCAGCCACCACCCAGGTAATACGAAATTCACAGCTCTCTCTGTGTCCCCACAGCGGGAGGCTGGTGAGGAAAAAGTCACTCTGTCCTCCTTAACACTGGAAAATTCTTAATTTAGGCTCCACACCTTATTCTTCATCAGCCCAAACTCACTTCAGTGGGATCTATTGTGAAAGTTTGTATAATATTGTGAATGTTTGAAGCAAAGCATTTATATACAGTTAGTTTGCCTTGAATAGAAGTGAATCCAAATCGGGTCTCATTAGAGCACCACTGGTGTATGATTTAGGCAATTTTACCATTATCTGCAAAGGGAAGAAATTATGGGTGTATTCAGACATAATTCCGTAGCATGAAAGTGAAATCTTTCTTTTATTGCTTTGACTGCTGTGTCTTATTAATTTATTTTACTAATGTTTCTGAAGTAGTAAAGTGTCAAGAACTCCATGAATATGGATCTTGATTGTTAACAGATTCTTAGATTTGGATTGGATTTTGGTGTTTTCATTAAAATTTTTTGGATATGATAACAGTGTTATAATAACAATGAGAGTGATAACATCTACCTGGATTTTAAAAATAATAACAGCCATTTTTACTAGCATACTAAATCAATTAGTTATCTTTGGATTACATCAAAACGGTCTCATGCCCCATCTTAAGAGAACTTACTATCTCAGGGGAAAAACATTTGTGCCCCCCAAAAGTCTTAAGAATACTCATTCATTCATTTGCTATTATTATTGTATTCTTATAAAATATCAGGCACTAGTTAAGTTTTGGGGAGAGAAGGAGGTAGATGAGAAGGATAAGAGTGTACCACACCATGCATGTGGAAGAAACACAGGATTTCAATGTTCAATAATACTACATTAGGTCTTAAGAGGTCATAGAATCTGCATTTGGATTTCATCCATGCTCAGCCTAGTGTGTGCTTCCCATTTACTTGCCTTGGTGAACTACTTCTTAGCCTTGTGTTGAGATGTCCTGTCTTCTAAAAAGTCTCCACCAATATCCACAACATATTTTTTTAAACTTTTAAGTTTAGAGGTACAAGTGCAGGTTTGTTACATAGGTAAACATGTGTCATAGCGGTTTGATGTACAGATTTCATCACCCAAGTATTAAGCTTAGTACCCATTAATAATTTTTCCTGATCCTTTCTCTCCTTTCACCCCACACTGTCTGAAAGGCACCAAGCGTGGTGTTCCCCTCCATGTGTCCATGTGTCCTCATCATGTAGCTCCCACTTACAAGTGAAAACATGTCCAACATCCACAAAATTTGATAGCACTTAACATGTTGAATTATAACTAGGTGTGTGTCACACTAATCCTTGAGGAAAGAACCATGTTTTAATGATATCAAATACCTCGTAACTCTCAGGCGTAGAAGATGTCCCATACATGTATATTAAACAAATAAATAACGGAAGCACAAACACTAGGTGAAGTTTCTCTTTGAAAATTACCTGGAAATGGTACTTTGCCAAAATGATTTCAGAAAAGAAAATCAACAAAAATCCCAACAAGTGCGATCCATGGTGTCTCAAGCAGACTGAAGTTGTGTGACTCTTATCACATTACCTTGATGTGATAACAGAGGCTTTAAAAAATACGTAAAGGTTGATGTATATGGGCATCAGTGCAGTAATGTCCAGGATTTCCAAAAAGAACATTATCTTTGGCCCAGGAAGAAAGATTTTAAAATCAAATTTAAGCCAAATAGGGCCCAGACAGATGTCTCAAGTCAGCAAAACCATTTGTCAAAAGAATTCTGAGTGACTCCAACAAGTGTGGTGGTCTTCTAGCCCTCCCACTTCCTGTCAGAGCCCACAAGTGATAGATCCCAGAAAGCCAACTTCGGAAAAAACACATTTTTTGGTGGGGGGGAACCAACCTCAGGAAATTAATTCTCCATACTCTAGCTGTCACATTCACAATTAATTAGCTTAAAGTTCCTGGAAAGGACATTTATGCTATTTTGGCTTGATTTGCTTGAAATAGTAGAAATTTGTGGGACTTCAGAAGGGTGTGGTGGTATAAAACCGTTGGCTTTCACAACTCTGGTTTTTCTCTTTCCCCGAGGATAACGTACATTAAAGACGCCGAACAACTCTGGTCCTCAAAGAAGTTTTTAGAGAACCTGATCCTTAAGTGAAATAAGCAAAAGTTTGAAAATAATTACCATAAAAAATTGTATTTCAAAGGGCTCCTTGGGTGGTCCACTGGAGCCTGCCATCGGGTGGAAAAAGCCAAAACGTTTAACCTCCTCCAGGCATTCTGGTTCACAGTGAACCTACCACTGAAGGCCTGGTTTCATTCAGCCCTAGAGGGACTGGGTTCTCTCATCCACCCTGGCTGCAGAATTTATTTCCAGAATGACCATATTCTTCTGCTGGGTGATTTCCACTGGCATCCTCACCATTGGACATACTGGTGAGACAACAGCAGACAGATTTCTAACAGAAAGATTTGGTTAATTCTCAAAGGTCAGTTTCCCTGAAGTGCCTTTCCATACAGCACTGCCCAGCTCTAGAATTCCCGGGGTAATTGAACTGAGTGAGTCCTGCTACCATTTGTAGACAAGCCCAGCATTTGTTACTCATGAATCACATGATTTACTGAGATCCAGGAAGGACAGGGAGTGATTCTGAGTTTGGAGGCATAGAGCCTGAGTTCCTATTCTGACTTGGACACTGTCTAGCTATGGGACCCTCTGCAAGTCCTGTCACCTCTCTGAGTCTCAGTGTTTTTGTTGTCACCATTACTGTTGTTACTATTGATGCTGTTGTTCTGATGAATAGCTAGAATTTTGTTGTGGGTTTCCTGTGAGCCATATACCCTGATAAATGTTTACGTGGATTATCTTAGGAGTCTGTTGCAGTGTAGATAGTATTATTTGCTTCCTTTTATCAATGAGAAAAAGTGACAGATTAAATAACCTGCCCCAAATCATGTATCGTTAGTGAAAAAGCAGAATTTGTACACTGGCAGGCTGACCTCAGAGGCCACACTCTTAACTGTGATGCTACTTCCTCAGGGCAAAATAAGGTTAAAATAAGTGGATGTCCTTTTTCAATTCTAAATTTTTATAATTCTGTAAATCATTCCATAAATTCTGTAATACCCCTACTTAGCTTTGGTGATTAAGAAGAAATTTTTTAAACTGGAATAGGAGTTAGCAAACAGTGGCCTACATGCTAAATCAGGCCCTATGCCTGTCTATATTAATGAAGTTTAATTGGAACATAGCCACACTCATTCCTTCATGTATTGTCTATGGCTGCTTTTGTACCACAGTGGCAGAGCTGAGTCTTAGAAAAGATAGTCTTGGCACGAAACTAAAAATATTTACTCTGCTGATGCTTTATGGCAGTTTACTGACCCCTAAGCTGCAATGTAAGTATATAAAGTTGGAAAGTTGATTCTGTTTACTGCTGTACTCCCAGCACCTAGAACAGTGCCTGGTACATAGTTGATGCTTAATACATATTTTTGAAAAAATAAGATAAAATATTTTGTTTGTAACTTCAACCATGCCCTCAAAGACACAGCTTCAGTCTGCAAATAAGCAGAATTTTAGTATAATCTATCCCCATTAAAAAAAAAAAAACAAAACCTATAAAATGTAATGTTCAAATGTATAAATTTTATGTAACTGAATTTATGAAAATTTTATCAATTTTCTTGAGCATTTATCAAAGAAGGGATGCCAGATGTAAGGTAAACAGCTGTTGTAGGTTTTTCTTAATCCCTTTTCAGGACTTCATGCCTTGGCTTGGTAAAGCTAATATTAACATTGAAAAAAGCAGGTTATTTGTTTCAGGTGACTTCCCTATAAGCTAATTAGCAAATATATATAGAAGGATAGACAGACTGCTTTGCATTCATTATTTGCTCTTTCTTTTGTGAATTACTATGGGAAAGATAAACTCCCTGGTATTTTATACCTATTACCTACAAAATTTGCTTTTTGCTCCAGAATGTATTATTTGGGGATGTTTAAAACAGCAGCTGGATATCTCTAGCTGTATTTCAACTTAATAGAGTTAATACAGCTAATTGGAGGTAGGAGTTGTTCAGTGGAAGGTACTTTATATTTCAGAACAAACTTAGACACATAATAGCTATGGCAACTTTCCCCACTAAGTTTGTATAATCATTTATCTTAGCAGTGAATTAATTAATTTTCTTTCATTATCTGGTACTTAGTCATAAAATGTTGTCATTCTCATTATGTCATTCTGCAAAATACTCTATACATATTGTTAATAATACCGAATTGTGTGAGCTCACTACAGTTATATGAATATACTTGGAAATTATTCTAATAGAAATAACATTTAACATGTAATACCAAATTTTTCCTGGCCTTCTAGAAGTACTTGCATTCTTCTGGATTAGATCTAAGGGGCGTCACCATTTATTCGTTCATTTATTCCAAAAACTGCTTTGTACTGAATACTTGGCGAAATGATTAAGATAATGTGCGCATGCGCGCACGCGTCTGGTGTGGAGGATGTGTTAGGAAGAGAGTCAGAATCTGAGATGAACACTTGAATCATGAGTAAGGGGAAGTTCTGGGCACCAGAGGCTCTGGGTACCAGCTGAGATTGGGAGAGACAGAAGATCAAGGAATAATCTTTAAAGACATGGCACTTGATGTGAAAAATGAAAACTAAGAAGGAAAGAGAGGGAGCCCATAAATGAAGGAAATAGGAAAAGAAAAGAGAGTAGGGACTGCACTGGTGAGGAGGATATGGAAGGACACCCCAGGGAGGAGGAAGAGCAGGTGAAGAGCACATAGCACTAAACAATATGTGCACTCTGGAAACAGTACATAGGGGAGCATGGCTGGAAGTAAGGAGGAGAGGCCAGGAGATGAGCCAAGGGGGGCAGATGTGAAGGATCCTGTGCACCATGCTAAGGAGTTGGCTTTGATGGCGTTGATGCTGGAGAATCGTGCAAGAAAGACCAGATGTACTGCCGTAGGAAGAAACTAATTAATTGGATTGACAAATCAACAAGTAGTGGTGCTAGCATTTGGGATCACAAGATTCCCTCTACCTGTGTTTGAACCACCTCTTCGGTCACTAAATAGAGAGGTGATTCCACTCAGCAGTTTCAGAGATTCTAGGAGATGCCAAGCAAAACGTTTGCTGTTCTCACTGAGCTACTTTGTACTTGGTTGCTACTTTCTGTGCACCCTGAGAGACCCTGGT